TTTTTAAAAGAGCAATTTATTCAATAATATTGAGTATGAAAAGTTTTAAACTTAAAAATATTTCAATGTGATTTTTAAGAAATATTTTTTTTTTCTTTATGGCCTAAAACCAGAAAACGGTATTCCATTGTTTCAAGCCAGGAAGCTATCAAACATGGTAATGTAGTGGAACTAGTATGTGATTAAGGGCATAGAGGCTCTTCATTCATTAGTATTGGGGCATGGAGGTCTTTTACCCAACAGTGCGGGAGGCAGTGTTTCAATGCTAGGACTTGATTCAGGATTTAGAGGTCCCTGGTTCGTATCCTCTCAAGGACAATACTAATTTCCTTGAGCAAAAAAGTTACTTTACTTTTATTCACTTCATCAATGTATAAATAGGAAACTGAGAGGGTGGAACAGTTCTTTAGTGGTTGCCTAGTGATTAAGGTGTCCTCCTTTCAACCCATTGATCACGGCTTGAGACTTTAAAGATGGGGTCCATAACTTTTCTTTTCTTAGACACCGGTATTGGTTGTTCCAGAGGCAATCTCGAAAGTTGTTAAAATCCTAGTGAATTTCATTTAGGAAAATTTCCGACTTTTCCCACCTCATTAATTGATTGAATTGTTAAATTTATATTATATATTATATTGATTTATAATATAATGTATTTTAATTAAATTTTTTATTCTTTATGGTAAATATTATTCCTTGTTTCATATGCTATCAAATAGGATTTAAAACAAGTTTATGATGGAGTTAAATCAAGTGTTTTTAAATGCATAAGATAAGTGTGTTCTCATACAATATTTCTGAGAAAATTTGACTCATCATTCATTGTATAAATGAAATAGATGACTTTATTTGTGGTTAATGTTATTGTCATGGAGTTTGATTTATGGGACACTTTTCTCAATACAATATTAGTAGCAAGAAAGTGAAAAAGTTTCGCAAGGAGCTTAATAATAGAAAAAAAGAAAAAAAATGGTAGCTGCTAAAATGGAGAGAAAGTCTCCTACAAAAGATTGTAATAGCTCAATGACCAGGGGTAGAAGTGGTAGTGCACAGTGCATTAAAAGTACACTATAAAATGCAGTTATTGTACTGAAATTCTAGAAAATTGAAAAATGAGCTAAGTAACAGGTATAAATGTGAAAGTTACATAGAGCCTTATCAAAACTAAAAAAATGTGAGGAGATAAAACATCAAATGGGTTTTCTCAACAAGAAAATGTTGAAGGATGTTTGCAAACATAGTTGACTTTTATGAACTTAAAGTTATGCCCTATTTAAATACCAGGTTATTTCAGCTAAGAAAGGATGTTTCATAACATTGGTATGTTAGATACATTTTATAGTAAAAACTGAGACACTAGCTTTTAGTCAATTTTTTCAAAACACATGAAGATTCACCCCTACATGACTTGATTCTCTCCTACATGACTTGAAGATTCTCCCCAATCCCCAATATGACTTGAGGATTCTCCCCAATATGACTTGAAGATTCTGCCTAATATGACTTGAAGATTCTCCCCAATATGACTTGAGGATTCTCCCCAATATGACTTGAAGATTCTGCCTAATATGATTTGAAGATTCTCCCCAATATGACTTGAGGATTCTCCCAAATATGACTTGAAGATTCTCCCCAATATGACTTGAAGATTCTCCCCAATATGACTTGAAGATTCTCCTAAATATGACTTGAAGATTCTCCCCAATATGACTTGAAAAGATTTCTCCCCAATATCACTTGAAGATTCTCCCCAATATGACTAAGTATTCTCCTCAATATGACTTGAAGATTCTCCAAAATCTCCCGAATATGACTTGAAGATTCTCCCAAATATGACTTGAAGATTCTCCCCAATATGACTTGAAGATTCTCCCCAATATGACTTGAAGATTCTCCCGAATATGACTTGAAGATTCTCCCGAATATGACTTGAAGATTCTCCCCAATATGACTTGAAGATTCTCCCCAATATGACTTGAAGATTCTCCCCAATATGACTTGAAGATTCTTCCCAATCTCCCCAATATGACTGGAAGATTCTCCCCAATATGACTTGAAGATACTCCCCAATATGACTTGAAGATTCTCCCCAATATGACTTGAAAATTCTCCCCAATATGACTTGAAGATTCTTCCCAATCTCCCCAATATGACTGGAAGATTCTCCCCAATATGACTTGAAGATTCTCCCCAATATGACTTGAAGATTCTCCCAAATATGACTTGAAGATACTCCCCAATATGACTTGAAGATTCTCCCCAATATGACTAAGTATTCTCCTCAATATGACTTGAAGATTCTCCAAAATCTCCCCAATATGACTTGAAGATTCTCCCAAATATGACTTGGAGATTCTTCCCAATATGACTTGAAGATTCTTCCCAATATCCCCAATATGACTTGAAGATTCTCCCCAATATGACTTGAAGATTCTCCCCAATATGACTTTAAGTATTCTCCTCAATATGACTTGAAGATTCTCCAAAATCTCCCCAATATGACTTGAAGATTCTCCCAAATATGACTTGAAGATTCTACCCAATATGACTTGAAGATTCTTCCCAATATCCCCAATATGACTTGAAAATTCTCCCCAGTATGACTTGAAGATTGCCCCCAAAAGGACTGGAAGGTTCTTCCCAATATGACTTGAAGATTCTCCCCAATATGACTTGAAGATTCTCCCCAATATCCCAATATGACTTGAAGATTGTCCCCAATAGGACTGGAAGGTTCATCCCAATATGACTGAAAGGTTCTCCTTAAGATGACTTGAAGATTCCCTCCTACATGACTTTGGACACCTTGCTACATGTACTGTTTTCTATTTCATCAAAGAACATTTATCAATGCATGACTGACACTTTTGCCTTCCTACATTGTTATATAACCCTTTGTTCCATGACATTTTCCCCCTGAAATCAATTAAATGATTTTCCTTGAATTGGGTTTATCCAAGCAATCTGTTTGATAGGCATTACACAAATCCACAAAATTCAGCCTTTATAATTTGTCAAATTACCTTTGAAAACAAATCAACAAGGCAGCAAAAAACAACAACAATATGAATGTCCCAGGAATAGAAAAAAAGATCTTGTGGGCACAGCAAAAGAACAAGAATAGCAATGCACTTAAAACATGCATTGTGTTGGACACATTAACAAAAACATAGAAAAGTCATATGGACCCCTTTATCAAAACTAACATTTTACAGGCCAAATTAATTAAGGTCCATTGTGAAGGTCCCATCAAAAAAGATAAACATTATGTTTGCCTCATTAATAAAAAAGAAACATTGTGTAAGATGTATTTACAAACAAATATTGCATAAACGTCCATAATTGACCAAAAAGAAAATACAATTCACTCCCGTGTGTGGTCCTCACAAACAGGTTAGACTGTAAAACTTGATTATTTGCATCGGTGACATTTAAAGCAAAGCAAACATTGTTGTTGTATGCCACAGCCTGCTGTGCTAGAGCATTAACGTTGAGGTTTTCTTATCTTGTTTTTTAATCAACAGTTTCCCAAGCTATTTCTAATGTGCTCCATTCATATGTTACATGCATGAGAAGGCACGTGGAATGTAGCTCATTGACTCTAAAGTAACATGTGTTTCCGCTGGTTGTTACAATTTACATGTGCAAGGAATAAACATTCTTGACACAGTTTTTTTTTTCGTTAAACAAAATTTTAAATGTATAATGCAGTAAAAAGAAATACTTCCGTTTATTTGTTTTTACATTTTGGGGGTCCAATTAGAATGCTTCCACCCACTTCCTTTGACAAGGTAACGTGAGATATTATGAAATACATTTGTAGTTTTCATTCAATGATAAAAAAACAAACAACCTTAGACTCACACAAAAGTAGCTTTAATTTTCATAGTCAATTTTGAAACAGTTTATATTAATCACTTTCAAGTGTGCTTCCTTGGAAGAAGTTGGGACTGGTACCGTATGAAGAAATATAGTTGTGTCCCAAATTGACTGCCTCTAATGTAACAACTTGATCCCTTTTTCCTCAAATTAAAGTCCAAAAAGAAAGTAAAAGAAAGTCCATAAATCAAATAAAGAAAGCAAAATCTCCAATGTGCTGTTTGATGAGACAGCTTCTTTGAAATCATTTTACATACCTTTTCTAATGAACTGTTTTAGTAGGCAAACAGTGGCATGCTGAGTGTATGTGTTAAAAGAAACAATAGGTAGGCATGTAGGAATTTTGTCTGACTGAACTATTGTCTTTTGTACAGAACTCTGATTTGGAATGAAGCTGCTTTCCCTTTGATTGAAGTTACCTGTAGTAAAAGTAGTTGAATATTGAATATTACCAATTACATGAGTTTTATACAATTTATAATTGGCTGAAATTTGAATCATTTATGTTTGAATTTGAATATATATAAACTACAACATGTTAGTTAGAACTATCTGTCCCACACCCAGTACCATCAACCTGCCAACACATCTGGTATATCCATTTTGAAAATATGAAATTATTTATTTGATTTGTTGATTTTTTTATGGAATTTTTATCAGTATTTTGGTTTTATGTTGGGGGAAAAAACACACACACCAAAACACATTTTATCCTTGTTCATTTTCTTCCATAAAAGTAAAGGTTTTATATATTTTACAAGATACAAAAAAATAAGCATCCATCTGTGATAGTAACTTTCCTGTAATTTTAAGAAATGTCCCAGGCAAGATAGACAATAATTATACAATTACAGTTCTGGCAGTGAAAGGGTTAAGGGACCACCAATCAATAGATATTGCAAAACAAGACTGCACTTGTATGTCTGTTTTTCAAATATTTAGTAATACTAGAAAGATTTCAGATTTTCAGTTGAGTAAGAGAATCATTTAGACAGAAATTGTGAATTGTTGAGATGGCTGACAGTGATTCACAGATTCACAACTTGTTAGACAGTATAATAGAATTGAATAGTTGTGTAAATTAATCATATATAATATTAGAATATGAATGTTATTTTCATTACAGACATTGCTGGAAAATAACATTAGATGAATGATTGTGTCGTAATATAGTTTACAATGGAGGAGAAGTTGTGTTAGTTCAGTTGAGGCAAGATGGCAGCATTTTATCATAACTGTGGTAAGAATATCTATTATAATATATTTTTTATTATATCACACAACACTAAGATAAGATTTAAGTAAAGCAATGTTGGTAGTATTAAACTACAGTAAGTTAATCCATTTCTTTCATGTGAGGAAGTTATCCTGCTAGTTTACAAAATTTTGGTGGTTCTACTCTAGTACCTGCTGGTGTCTGAAAATATGCAAATGTTGTGTTCCTGACACAGGAAAGTTGCCATACAGGGCAGTGTGACTTAAAACACAACCAAAAAGTAAAACAAAACAATGAGCATTTAATAAATTTATTATACACATCAATTGAAGAAGAGGTTATATGACCAGTTCAGAATCGGATAAAATTTAACTTGTTATTACGGGGTAGCCATAAGTTATACTAAATAAACTTATAAGATTTTAAGGAGGAGTTCTAATTTATCAACCAATGGTATCATGGCAAAATCTAGGTAAAATTCTGTGTATAAGCTTAAATAGGAGGAAAATAAATTATTTTTAATGTTTTATATAGAACTGAAGCTGTGCAAAAGCTTTTCAACTATGTTAAATGACACACTCAAATATCACTACATCTCAAAACTGAAGTAATAAGATTGCAAAGCCAAGCAAATGAAAGCTCAAACTATGAAGCTCAAAACATGACTTGATGCAAACCGATGCAGACTCAAACTAAGGTAAGGTCATAAACTCAAAATGTGTCAAACTTTAGCAATGATAAAATAACAAAGTCCTCCAAAGCACTTTTGCTAAATGTCATACTCATTAATAGCAAAAAAAAAAAACCATTCTCAAACAATAGCTAATGGCACACTCAAACAATGACAAGATTGAATACAGGTAGAATTACAATATAGCATACTCAAGCTATGACAAGATGACATTCTTGAACAATGACAAGATGGCATAAGGAACAATAACCAAATGGCATACAAATGACATACTCAAAAAATGACCAGATGAAATACAGGAAGAATGATGATATGGCATACTCAAAAAATAACAAGATGACATTCTTGAACAATGACAAGATGGCATAAGGAACAGTAACCAAATGGCATACAGGTGACAGAATAAAAAAATGACAAGATGGCATATACAAACAATGACAAGATGGCATATACAAACAATGACAAGATTGCATACTTGAACAATGACAAGATGGCATACAGGAACAATGACAAGATGGCATACACAAGCAATGACAAGATGGCATACTCAAACAATGGCAAGTTGGCATACAGGAACAATGACAAGATGGCATACATAAACAATGACAAGATGGCATATTTTGAACAATGATAAGATGGCATACTTGAACAATGACAAGATGGCATACAGGAACAATGACAAAATGGCATACACAAACAATGACAAGATGGCATACTCAAACAATGACAAGATGGCATACTCAAACAATGGCAAGTTGGCATACAGGAACAATGACAAAATGGCATACATAAACAATGACAAGATGGCATACTTGAACAATTACAAGATGGCATACACAAACAATGACAAGATGGCATACATAAACAATGACAAGATGGCATACATAAACAATGACATGATGGCATACAGGAACAATGACAAGATGGCATACATAAACAATGACAAGATAGCATACTTGAACAATGACAAGATGGCATACATAAACAATGACAAGATGTCAATATCTTAATTCCAACTGAACTCAAACTATGGCAAGATCACAGCCACAAAAGGGCAAGCTTAATGAACAGAGTGGGTATATGTTGTAGAATTCCAACCCTGTCCCCTATGTCTTGCCTGTAGAAAAGCTTGCTGGCAGAGACTGTACTTCCTGTCAAAAGTTGGAAGGTGATATATTAAACGGCATTGCCTTTATTCAATCATTAATTGCTAAAGAAGGACAGTACTTTGAAGATTTGAAATGTAGATTTTCAAAGCCCAACTGTTAATCTTGTCATTTAAAATGATTGGTTGCATTATTTTTGATGTATTTGGATATCATATAGAATAATATTCCAAGTAATCTGATGGGTACAAAATGATAACAATAAGCCCCTAAAATGTCAAATTTTTCTCTGAATTAATTACAGTAGAACTTCTGTAAGTTGAAGAGACTTTCGTAAAAACTTTGACTCAATTTAATGATGAAATTTCGGGCTGTCAACATTTTTAAATGAGTAACAAAAGGGAAGTTTAGGAAAGGGCGATAACTAAACCAGCTTATAGTAAATATATCCTTTGTCATTATCATGTGATGCTGGATCAGGGAAATTCTCAAACAAAATTAGTTCATAATGTATATTTTCATACACAACAATTACTATGGCAATTAAAATGTTAACAATTAGAGTATAATTATTATTACACATTTGAACGCAAACAAAGGCTGTAAGAACACACAACTGTGTAATTAACACCTGTCATTAAGTTGATCTGAAATCATCTTCACTGCCAGAAAAGGTGAGAAAAATCCAACAAGATCAAAGGTGTTAAATTAAATACTTTACTTCAACTTATTCATAATAAAATGTTCTTGAATTATAGTTTATGAACCTTAAAAATACTTTTACACAGTGAAGAAATCGACACAAAGAAATTTGACTCACATATAGGTTTTAATAAAGGAAAAATTGGGACTGTCATAATACTTTGACACATCAAGAAAATCAACAAAATGAATTTCGACACTTAGAAGTTTTACTGTACTATAAATTTACAAATGACCAAAATGCAGAAGATGGCCAATGAGTTTCATGCTTTTGAGAAATAAATATAATAACATTTTTGAAGCTTAAATGGCATTTAAAGGTCAAAGGTTGTTGAAAACTTTCATGTCAATAAGTATTCTCAAGTACAATCAAGAGATCTGTAGCAGAATGCCATATTTCTTTTCTTTTTTTGACTTTGCATAGAACTATTGGTATCTGGGCAATGCATGTAAAAAATATCTTGCAGCAAAAGGAGCTCATAAAGTAGGATACAAAAACGTAGATGCAAATTGCATTGACAAATACAAGCAAAGCACAGAGTGCACAGTTTGCACATGTATATATCTACAGATTGTAAAGATCATGTGATGTTTGAAAAAGCATTTTGTTTGTCAGGTTTTTGCGAGATTTTTTGAGGTATAGGCATGCTAAGAACTGCAGTACCAATGTTATCCAGGTGTTCAATAAAAAACGCAAGTACAGCTGTGAAGGATCGTTTGATAAACTGTCAAGATAAATATGTGTAAAGTCTTGTACTGAGATTTTCTTCAGCTATATACCTTTAACCTTCAGTTCCCCAAATAGCTTTAACTGCCTGAAAAATTTATATATATAGTTAATATAATACTCTATGAAATGGATTGGTTCAGATCAAATGATGACATTATTAAAAAGGTTCGGGGAAACAAACATAGAAATATATAGTGCCTGACTAGTTATTGGGTGATGGTAAAGATACAGTATTTACAGGTATGGCTGCGATTGAGTATCTTGGTTAGTGTGTTAGTGGCACATTGCCGTGGGGAGGTTTCACCTGGATTATAATTAACATAGGTAAATATTTGTTCTTTGTATTAAATCTTTATGTTTTAAATATCTGTTTTCCATACAGTGAAATTATAAATGTGAGTTGAAAATTAAAAGATAAATTTTATAAATTTTTTATTTTTAGCTCACCTGTCACAAAGTGACAGGGTGAGCTTTTGTGATCGCTTTTCGTCCGGCGTCCGTCCGTCCGTCGTCCGTCCGTCGTCCGTCGTCCGTCCGTAAACTTTTGCTTTAAATGACATCTCCTCATAAACCACTGAGCCAATTTCATCCAAACTTCACAGGAATGTTCCTTTGGTGATCACCTTTAAAAATTGTTCAAAGAATTTAATTCCATGCAGAACTCTGGTTGCCATGGCAACCGAAAGAAAAATCTTTAAATATCTTCTTTTAAACAACCCTAAGAGCTAGAGCTTAGATATTTGGCATGAAACATCTTCTAGTGAGTGTCTACCAAGTTTGTTCAAATAAAAGCCCTGGGGTCAAAATTGGCCCCGCCCCGGGGGTCATTGATTTTCCCTATATGCATATAGTAAAAACTTGAAAAATCTTCTTTTAAAGAACCCAAAGAGCTAGAGCTAAGATATTTGGCATGAAACATCTTCTAGTGAGTGTCTACCAAGTTTGTTCAAATAAAAGCCCTGGGGTCAAAATTGGCCCCGCCCCGGGGTCATTGATTTTCCCTATATGCTTATAGTAAAAACTTAAAAAATCTTCTTTTAAAGAACCGTAAGAGCTAGAGCTTAGATATTTAGCATGAAACATCTTCTAGTGAATGTCTACCAAGTTTGTTCAAATAAAAGCCCTGGGGTCAAAATTGGCCCCGCCCCAGGGGGTCATTGATTTTCCCTATATGCATATAGTAAAAACTTAAAAAATCTTCTTTTAAAGAACCCAAAGAGCTAGAGCTAAGATATTAAGCATGAAACATCTTCTAGTGAGTGTCCACCAAGTTTGTTCAAATAAAAGCCCTGGGGTCAAAATTGGCCCCACCCCGGGGGTCATTGATTTTCCCTATATGCATATAGTAAAAACTTAAAAAATCTTCTTTTAAAGAACCATAAGAGCTAGAGCTTAGATATTTGGCATGAAACATCTTCTAGTGAATGTCTACCAAGTTTGTTCAAATAAAAGCCCTGGGGTCAAAATTGACCCCGCCCCAGGGGGTCATAGATTTTCCCTATATGCATATAGTAAAAACTTAAAAAGTCTTCTTTTAAAGAACCTAAAGAGCTAGAGCTAAGATATTTAGCATGAAACATCTTCTAATGAGTGTCTACCAAGTTTGTTCAAATAAAAGCCCTGGGGTCAAAATTGGCACTGCCCCAGGGGGGTCATTGATTTTCCCTATATGCATATAGTAAAAACTTAAAAAAATCTTCTTTTAAAGAACTCAAAGAGCTAGAGTTTAGATATTAAGCATGAAACATCTTTAAGTAAATATCTACAAAGTTTGTTCAAATAAAAGCCCGGGGGTCAAAACTGGCCCTGCCCCAGGGGTGTCATTGTTTTTAACTATATGTGTATAGTAAAAACTTTAAAAATCTTCTTTTAAAAAACCCAATGAGCTAGAACTTAGATGTTTAGCATGAAACATCTTCTTATGGGTGTCTACCAAGTCTGTTCAAATAAACAAATAAAAGCCCTTGGGTAAAAATTGGCCCGGGGAGGGGGGGGGGGGGCCTATATACAGGTGAGCGACCTCAGGGCCATCATGGCCCTCTTGTTTGTCTTATGTAAGCATGATATTTATGAAAAAAAGTTGAAAATGAATTTATGTGAATTATTAACTTCAAGTAGAATTTTGATTTTTTTTTCAAAAGGTGAAACAAAAAAAGAATTTGATAATTAACAATATTTGTGTTGTTTTTTTCTTTGCTCAAAAGTTATGTTAATGAAAAATATTGCTTAGTAGAAATGTTTAGTTTAAATTTCATTTTAGTAACTTAATGTTAACATTTCTTGTTAGAAAAGAATACAGAAATATGTTTGATAAATACAATGTATATGAAGTTTTAATTCTTCATCTACTAATTATAAATTTATGAAATATTATTTACTATATGTGGGAGTTGAAAGAAATTCCACATTAAGAAAATACCAACCAAGTGTAAGAAAATTTTATAACTTATCTGATGGCATTTCAACTTAAACAAATATATATGCCTTCTATAGAAAATTAAATTTTGGTTTGTAATTTACCAGTTAAGAGGAGATTCTGTATTCTCCAATGGTAGGAATGGTAATAAGACTGTTTATTTGATATTTATGCATGTTAATTATCATGTGTTATCTTTCATTTTAATTATGTAAAACAAATAGTAATTATAGAATTGTTTCGTATTAAATATTATGATGATATTGCCCTATGAATGATATATACATAAATGGCAAGTTTAAATGTAGCCAAACATTTGTTATAATTTTTCCTGTGATAACATGGATATAATATTTTTGAATAAATGGTAAATGAATAACTTGAACTTAAGTATATCGTACAACACTTTCCGCCAATCTACCCATGGGTCATGAGGGTTACTTGATTTTTAGCTCTACTATTTTTTTCGATGAAAATAATAGAGATATTGTTGCAGCCATGTCGGTTTTGCTGTCCGCAAACTTTAACCTTGATCATAACTTTTTAAGTTCTTGTTTGCCATGTTTTTTATGCATCATACCATTGGTCATGTGACCAGTGCAGACCAAAATCAGCTGGCATATCAGTACTGTCGGCACATCAGGATGATCAAGGTCTGCACTATTTGCTTTTCATCAAATACATCTTAGGAGATTTTTGTGCAGATTGAAAGAGGGAAAAAGTATATTCAAGATATTTAGGGTTTTCAAAAGTTAAATAAAGTTTGATTCAGGAAGCCCACTCATTTGTGATTTTCATATAGCAATATCTGCTGCATATAAAATATGTTTAAACTAACATTGAAAAATAGGAGGAAAGAAGAGTGGCAATTAAGAGTGGCAATTAACTTGGCATATTGTGACAAAAACACATTAACTGCCTCTCTATTGGTAACATAGTCCCTTTGATGTGTTGACCATCTATTGTAAAACCATATGTTCCAACATAATGTTCTTGTTGTAAGGGATCTCATTGAATATTGAATATTGTTTTAGTTTAGAGAGGGTTGCATGGTTGTTAAAAGTTAGTTTCAATTGGAAGGCCATTCAAACCTACTTATGTTGCAATTTTAGCTTCTTGTATTCCCTAAAAATGTTGCTGAAGAGCCTGGCCACAATAATGATTTTTTTCTCCATTTTTTTTCTGTTTATGGTATTTGTAACTAGTTAGATTAAACAATGTGACAATTTTTTTCTAGAATTTTTTTTTGGGGGGCTAATAGCAATGCTTGTTTCCTGCCCAGTTTATATTTATTGTAGAAGTAATTTCATAGTATATAATTATAGTAAGTTATAAAATCATCTGTGTATGGAATACAGACTTGTCTCTAACTTCTATGTTATTATCTACTATTAACTTTAATAAAAAATTTCCTAGAATCACCTTTTAGCATATTTAAGCTTTAGAATGCTAGCAGCAAGGTGACACATTGACAAGGTTAATGTGCAAGTTTTCTAATGTCACCATTACAGAACCAGGCCAGCATGCATATCCTTGCACTCTGCCCAAGCTTTTCTGATGACTGCCTAATTTTTTATTTTTGAATTTGTATTGAAATCCCTTGAACAAAATCAAAGCTCAGGCCGATGGCTTGTCTATACTCACATGTTTCACTATATGTACAACCTTTTTCATTGACATTGGAGAGTATCCGGTAAAATTTTATGATTACATGGTCAATGTAAAGTGTAGCCTCCATGATAAATTTTGGTAACTTAATAACTTGCAAAAAAAATTCTTAAATTTTCATACATTCCCCGACCAGGCCAGACAGATTTCTTCACAGATAAAAACTGCATCTCTGAAAGATCAGTGAATATTTTGATGTTGTTAGTGGTGATTCTCATAATACTGATGGGGTTGTACTGTATGCTCTCATATATATTAGTTAAGCTGTGTAAAGATGAATTATTGCATTAAGATGATCTCCGCAGTCTGGAACGACATGTAAAAAAGACATTCACATACCAAATAAGGTCAGTAGGTCACTGGTTTATAGAGATTGTCGGTAACAGGCTGTATCCGTCAAGTGAATCTTCGTATTTACATCAAAACACGACTTTGACTGAGATATAATTAATATATTCACTTTAACTGTTGACTTAGTTAAAATTTCATTATTTGCTTTTCATTTATTTTTAAAAGTCTCGGATATGAATTCTTGCTAGAATTTTTTTCTTCAAAACTTGATAAAAAAAATTTTTTTCAGTAAAATATTTATATCGAAGCTATGTATTATCATATTTCAGGGGCGGATAAAGTTTCATTGAATGGTGGATGATAACACAGTGGAATAGATGGTGACAGTATGAAGAATTTCCATAATTGCATGGAGGGCATGGCTTAGAATATGATTAGAAAATAAAAGAGGTTGAAGGAAGATAAATGTATAACCTTCCTGTGTTATAATAGAATACTCGTAAACTCTAACTGTCTGGTCACTTGATAATGTATAGAGATAAAACAACAAACTTGAATTTTGTCGATGTCAGAGGGATGTACAATCTTCCTGTGTCATATACATATATGAATGGTTTTATATTTGTACTCTACCACAACAAAAGGAAAGAATTCATTTGACCAGAAGATGTAATGCTCCCTGCAATGGAAGATAAAAAGCACCTCTCAGGTAATGTTTGAATATTGGCATTCCATATTAAATTTTTTTTTCAGTTCTGGTCTATATTGAGCAAAGTGAGTTTTTATTATCACTCGAAAACATTCTAGTTAATAATGTTGACTTGCGGTATCAGCCACCTCAGCAAGTTTGTTCACTTTATATATTATTAGTTAAAAATAAAAACAGTCCAGCACCATGGTGATTATATGAATTATATATCGTTAGTGACTTTGTCTACTTCAGGTATAAATGAACAAGAAGTTAAAGTGGTTGAGAGACAGTTTGACTTGGACTTAATGTTGTTGGTTTTAATATTTTGGTACTTAAGTCCCCTAAAACTAACAAGAAGCATTTGCATTTGCAAGTAGAACTGGTCAGTTTAATAAATGGAAAGCATGGAAAGGGTTTAAAGTACAATGATAGAAATATGATTTTAAAGGCACTCTGAATTTCAAAAGCCTTAAAACATAAAATTTAAAATTCTCACCTGGGGCACTTAAAACCAAATTTTATGCAAAAGAAAATTGAAAAAATTTTTTTAAGTGATTCTTAGCCCGATTTGAGTGAATAGTTTTTTTAACAATTTTCATTTTTACATAATTTTGTACAAAAAAATATTACTCTAGAAAATCAGGAGCTGGCTCATGAGCTGCAAATTTTACACTCAAAATGTTTGTCCAGACCTACATAAAATGGTATTAAAATCTTGAAGATATATTTCCAGTTTCATTTTATCATAAAAAAACGAAGTCAAGTCCCTTTAACACTTTACTTCATATTGACGTGTTTTGACGGCTTTTCGACCCCCCCCCCTTTTTGAGGCCTCAAACAGTGAAAAATTACCCTATTAAGGCCCCAACATTGTTTTTGTTTGAGAAATTTTGTTTAAAAAAGTGACCACTTTTTCGGCGCAACCCCCAATCCAAAAGATACATCAGGGGGTTGCCAGAAGGGGGATGTGACCCCTTTGCCAAGAAAATTTTGGACTTGTGAGAGGCTAAAAATGACCCCAGATCGATCATAAGGTAACGTGTAACCAACGCTGAAAAGCCTTTGACTCTCTCTCAATCCATTGAGAAGTTGCAGCACTTTGAAATCAATTTTGATGGAAAAAATCAATGCAAAATAGTGATTTTTGGCAATTTTGAGATGTCCCCTCGTTGCCATGGTAACAGGAAATTTAAGACTGAGCATGTCGTTACAAATGCAATGGTCCAGTCAACATTTGTGCCAAGTTTGATTAGTATGAAGCATTTTGCATAGTTTCATAGCATTTTGAACTTGTAACAGGAGGCTTTTCAATGAAAACGGCCATTTTTTACAATATGCTCATGGGAAAAGTGTTAAGATACCTTTTTCAGTAAACTTGCAAGAACACAATAAGTTCTCAAAGCTGTTTGCTTATTATTCATTTTCTGTCATTTCAGTTTATACGAATTTGTTTTAGTTTAATTGTGATGGAAGCTATAAGCTTATTAAAACACTTTTGAATCTGTTCATAGAACCAATCAGTACTTAACAATGAGTCTTCCCAACTTGCCCTTAGGCAGCCAGATTTTTAATACAACATGTAAACCTGCCATGCCACCTCTCTGTCCATTTAAAATTTGCCCCTATGCCTCCTCATTATTCAGTTCATGTTACTTGTATATATAAAGAACAATTAATTAGCTCTTTAACAAAGTTATCATAAAAACTTGGAGTTTCTAGCCAAATTCTTGGCCTTGGTTCTGTATATTAGTTGTTTTAAACTAATGATTTTGACAGAACATGTATATACTTTTTGTTTTGTAGATGCTCTTGATCTGTATTTTTCTTTTGAGACTTTTATTATACAGATACTTTGTAACTGATTCTTTTAAAATCTTAGAAAATTATCCATTTGCCAATTAAGCTACAAAATGATGGCATTTATATTCATATTTGTGCATCAATCTGACAAAAAAATTATTTTCATTGAATTATCTCCCTTTGATCTTTATATTGCTTGCCCTGGTCAGTATTATTCCTAGTCATTAAGTGATCACCTGGTCAATAATTAAGTGGGGCACTTTAGCAGTGTTATATAACAGGTAGCTGGTCAATAAGCAATTGTTTGTTGACCTACATATATAAACTGACACTCAGCTGATTGTTGCCATACTGTCAATTATCTTCCCTAGAGGAATTTAATAATGGGAATATAAATTGACTAGAATAACTATTCCTGTAATAGATTCTTCTCACTTGAACATTGTGTGATTCTTAGTCCCTCTACAAGATATAAGTATTATAGCCTTTAATTTGTTAAAATCATTGCTTTGTATTTGATACAATCCACTTTCAAAGTTAAAGGAATTACAGTATGAAAATGCAAAAATTATGCATCAAAAAGTAAATCTAGCCTTGCCATACTTTACATTGTTCATTCTATACTGGTTGGAGAGGAGAGTAATTAAGTTTGGTTCTAGTAAGTCCTTTAACCACCCCCCCCCCCTTTTTGAGGCCTCAAACAGTGAAAAAATGCCCTATTTAGGCCCCAAACACTGTTTTTCGTTTGAGAAATGTTGTTAAAAAAAGTGACCACTTTTTCTTCCCCACCCCAATCAAAATGTTACATCAGGGGGATGCCCGAATGGGGATGTGTCCCCTTGTATTTGGGGGGTTTGAAACCGCCCCGTGGTCGAGGGGTTAGAGTCGATGAGTTCTAATCCAGTTACCTCTGGAGTGGGTTCGATCCCTGGGAGATGCTTTGGTAGTTTAGCGCGGAGGAAGGTAGTCTAGTACTGGTGTAACTCTCCAGGAACGATGGTAAGGAAACTACCCGCCTATATGACTGAAATACTGTTGGGAAAAGGCGTAAAATGAAACAAACAAACAAAACAAACAAAAAAAGGGGGGCGATAGTTAACCTTAACCTTTTACCCCATGAGCATATTGTGAAAAATGGCCGTTTTCATTGAAAAGCCTCCTGTCACAAGTTCAAACTGCTATGAAACTATGCAAAATGCTTCAATACTGATGAAACTTGGCACAAATGTTCACTGGACCATAGCCTCTGTAACAGCATGCTCAATGGTAAATTTCCTGTTACCATGGCAAGGTGGGGATGTCTGAAAATTGCGAAAAATCACTATTTTGCATTGTTTTTTTCCATCAAAAGTGATTTCAAAGTGCTGCCACTTCTCAATGAATTGAGATAGAGTAAAGGGCTTTTTCAGCGTCAGTTACTAGTTACCCTAAGATCCACCTGAGGCCATTTTTAGCCTTCACATGTCCAAAATTTTCTTGGGGATGATGTATCATTTTGATGGGGGCGGCGCCGAAAAAGTGGTCATTTTTTTAATAACATTTCTCAAAATCAAAAACAGTGTTTGGGGCCTAAATAGCCTAAATAGGGCATTTTTTCACTGTTTGAGGCCTCGAAAGAGTGGGGGGGGGGGCAAAAAGCCGTCAAAACACGTCTATATGAGGGAAAAGGATAAGGGTATATATGTTTTGGTTCTTGCAAATAAAGGGCTTATCAATTTTGGTTCTAGCAAATAAAGGGCCAATCAATTTTGGTTCTAGCAAGTATTGGGCAAATCAATTTTGGTTCTAGCAAGTAATGGGCAAGTCAATTTTGGTTCCATCAAATAAAGGGCTTATCAATTCTGGTTCCATCAAGTAAAGGGCAAATCAATTTGGCTTAAGCAAGTTATGGCGCAAATCAATTTTGATTCTAGCAAGTAATGGGCAAATTAATTTTGGTTTAAGCTTGTAATGGGCAAATCAATTTTGGTTCTAGCAAGTAATGGGCAAATCAATTTTGGTAATGAGTAACTTCGGTTACAGCAAGTAAAGGGCTAATTAATTTTGGTACCAGCAACTAAAAAGCAGCTAATAAAACACTTCTGGATTGTAAGAATTCTAGATCAACTGTGAAATCTGGACATTTTCAAACCTCATCACAAGATAAACAAAAGCATATTTCTAATACAATAAATACTTTGCTTAGAGAATATCAAGTCATATGAAATAAGTCACCTGCTGATTTCTAAATAATTGTATAACATACTGTAAACAAAACAAAGCTTCAAATATTGTTAAAAGTTTTGTCTATACTTTTCATTTAAGATCAAGATGAACTTCATTTCAAGAGGTTCATTGACCTATAATATCATAAGGTCGGGTGTCAGCTGCATTAATTTTTGGCCAAAAATAGCATTGAACAGTGGTGATTTATTAAATGTAGCCAGCCATACACACTGACATCAGTTGGTTACATGTAAAATAAACAATATGAATGAAGGGAAAGGGGGAAAGAACACACATATATAAACATATATTAGATATCACATACATATATATATGTGCCATGTTTTATCAATATTGCACATATATAGATATACAGCAAAATAAGAGGCAATTTTGTTGTCAAAGGTTTTATCCTCAAGTCTGGATACTAGAGAAGGGATAGCTGAAAAATACCAGCTTTTTGAATGTTTGAAATGATTCAACAATTTTATTTTATTAAAGTTACTTTAGGGACCACGATGAAAATAGGGGTTTGCCCATTTTTGTGTTATCCCTGGTGTTGATGTGTATGTCACAGTTTTTGTGCTCATATTTGTGTTATGTTATATCTCATTTCATGTGTTGTATTACATGTATGTACATTTTTTGAAAATAAATCTTATCTAATCTTACTTACAAAAGGAAGCTGTAATGGTAAGCTGTTGGGGAGGAGTAGTCTATGTCTTGTAGGGAAAGTTTTCAATGCGATTCATCTTCTGCTATTAGGTTGTTATAAAATAGCGGTTTTGAAACTTTTCTTTTAAAATCTTAGTCAAGATTGATGCTTTGTAAGAAAGCATATGAAAACATGGTCTGTAGATAATATTCCATTTATTACTCAAAATGTCACAATGGCGACATATTTAAATATTTAAAATCTATGTCATAGAAATGCTTGTCTTTATATAAATATAAAGTGAAGTGACAGATGAGATCTAGAAAGTATTTGACAACATTTACATGGCCAC